AATGCGAGTGTGCTGGTTATCAATGGGAGGTTCGAGTAGGGGTGGGCAAAAATCGAAAAAACCGGTTCAACAAAAAAAAACCACCCGAAAAAGCAGGCCGGTTAACCGAACCGGATTAAATGGATTGGAAGAAGACTCTAAACCGTCCGAACCGAATTAAACCGGTTTGGATCCGGTTTGAACCCATGAACCACCCAAAAAAAACCGAACCAGATTTTCTAATATAAATACTGAAAAATCCCTAACCCTAACTAGTTCTGGACTATTTGCATGGTTTGTAACTAAGTAACTCTTTAATGAGTTTAATATTATTGTATGGTATGTACTTGTTGATATGGTTTGCGCTTATTTCACTGATTTTAGTTTTTTTTGTTAGCTGTGACAATGGTGTTACTTCAAACAAGCTCCACATTTCATTCTTTGGGGGGGGAAATTAAGTAGACAAAATGGACAAATAATTATACTTCATCAGAAATTAATAGGCAATGATCTCAGGTGTGGGCAGAATTTTATGAAATGGAATTAATTCATCCCAAAACCGAAACCGATCCGAATCGATCCGAATTTCGGTTGGGCCGAATATTCGGATGAAGGAGAAAAAATCTGGATCTGGATGAGAGTTTTGAGAATTCGAAAAATTCGGATTGGATGCAGATTGGGCTTAAAACCGACCCGAACCGAATATGCCCAACCCTAGGTTCGAGGACACACTTACCTCTCTAGTCGTCTAGTCAAAATACTGACAAACACCGCCTTTTTAGTCAGTTACGTGAGTTGTTGACTGAAATAGCAGGCCGTGTGTGGAGCCTTGTGGGCTTGATCTAGTAGGTAGGTCGGCAAGTGCCAACTTTCGAGTCGGTCATGTAAGTTGTTAGCCTATGGAGTCGGCCACAGGAACAACTCAAGTTCTTGATTGTTGGAGTAATCTGATTAAGCATGGAGTGTGACACGCGTTGGCTTTCCAGTAGAGATTAACACTTGGTTATTTTGTAGCCTATAACCGCATTGAAAGAACTAATGGAGCTGAGGTAATGGCTGAAGACGATTGTGTCATAAGAGATTGTTGAGCAACAAGAACATCCGTAGTAGAGGTAGTCTTTCGCTAAACTTATGGCAGAATATATATACACACACAGAGAGTAAAGCTCCTATAAAATTAAGTGGATAGGAACACTTGTCCACCAAATTTTTTATTGATTTCTTATGCTTTGAGATTTGTGCTAGCATGTGATACAAATGTATGATACAAATGAAGACACAAATGTATGATACAAATGAAGACACAAATGTCGAAGATAACATTTACGTATAGCACAAATCTCAAAGCATAATAAATGGATAAAAAAGTTGATGGACAAAGGGCTCTAGGGTAAACTCTAGGGTATGTAAGTGATGCCCAACATAAGTGAGGGTATATAAATAATGCTAGGTGAAATTATATATAGGGTATTCAATTGCAATTCATTGAAGGTATTAAAGCGCAACTTTTAGTAACTTCAAGGGATCTAAATGCTGCCAAAAACAAGTGATCGAGGGTATATTAGTGCAAACTAAGGAAACTGTGAGGTATTTATGTGCCAGTTAGCCATGTATTTTTGAGCATTAATTGGAGAATTAAGATTAGGAAAATAGTCTGTCAGTTGGCATCATTGTGTGGTTTCATTTGCAAATAGGAGTTTTCCCCCGCCATCTCATCAAAAGCTTCAACTCAAGAATGGGTATTGCCATACTTTGTGATAATTCTTTCCACGGACACTTGTCGATTCATGTATCATCCTTCAATGCCGTTGTCTGCTTCTCCATACTCTGACTCGTCCAACACGGTGATTTAAATTGTGTTAGTAGCTGGGAATAAGTTTATAGGAGGTCAAAATGTATGACATTTTTAGGGCTTGAAGTAGTCGCATGTGCTAATTAAAACTAAGATTCCACGCCAACAATTCCATCCGTATAGACAAATCTAATTCGAAAGGTGCTTCTACTATGGACTTATTTTTCATGGAGTTTATATGAAGAATAAAAACATGGTTATGGTCGTGTATTTGTTCTGAACTTGAATTTTATTGCATCATGCTATATAAAGTTTATAATTTTTTGAACCAGAATAGAGTCTAAAAAAACATATAGGAGAGTCTCCTATATGTTTCTTTTATGTAAGTTTAATTATCCAGGCTAATCTAACTGAGTCAACACAAAATAACAGTGAACCATACCTATGAGACACTAACATGGTTTTTGCAGACATCTATGAGCAACAACATAAACTGATAGTGGCAATTGTGACGAGCCATGATGATATTAAAAAAATTCAAAACTTTGAAGGAAAGATACCCCTTTGATGATTTAGCAAGTTTTTCTTCGTGTGCTAAATTTGATGAACAACTTCATATAAATGAACAAAACCAACAAAACCAGCATAAAATTAAAACAGAAACTAGAGCCTATTCATCCTAAAATCATCAAAATCACGAAGATTATGCACCAAGATGCTCGACGTATTGATTGAGAAAACAAAAGTTCCACAATGTAGAGATTTCAATTGTTCGATCAAATTTTGGGGTCTTTGAACCATAGCACGATTGGTCTCCTTGTCTATTGATAAGTCTTATTTCATGAAAATTAAACTAGAAATCAAAAGGAGGAGAAAAGAAGATTCTAGCTTACCCTTTGATGACCAAGATTGCAGTTGAAGATGACGAAGAGAGCTCGCGGACGAGGGCGGCTAGGGCTTCGGGATTGACTCCGCGATCACAGAGGGAGATGATGAGGGAGAGAGTGATGCCGGGGCGGAGGCGGCGTCGGAGGCGGAGGAGGAGGTGGAGGAGGAGGGATCAATGAGGAACTCAGCCGCCAGAGAGAAAGAGGAAGAGATTGACGGGGTTCTAGGTTTTTTTTTGGGAACGCGGGTGGGCAAATGGGCAAATATACACCGCCCATTTAGTACCCGTTTAATATGGATTAAAATGAACCCGCCCAATTAGACCCATTTAATTAAATGGGTGGGTTTTGGGTAGGCTAAGTGATAGGCGGGCCGGGTGGGTAAATGGGTATGGGCAGAAATTGTCTTCCCTATAGGATACATGATCTAATACTATTTATTATAGAGATGAGAAAATTTTCCTCTTCAATTGATGTAGGACACATAACAAGCAAATTCATGGAGAAGTGGGACATTCACGAGTCAAATGCGAATACAGACGAATTACTGATTTGTCAGCAAAGAAACAATCATATCTCTCAATCCATATTTCATGTCAATGTCACCAATTTTTGTAGAATTTCAAAAATAATCAACTTTTATTTATTTTAATAATAAAGTTAGAGTCAACTTAGATTAGAAAACAAATTCCATTTGGATTCATGATTTATTCTGTCTACTATATGGAGTCTTTGTAGGGTAGATTTAATAATTTTTATTTCTTTGTAATTCTAGTCTTATGATGTTCTATTTTATTTTTCTATTTAAGAAGAGACATGAAACCCTATAATTATTAGATCACTTTTAACAATAAAATTGTCTTTTATATTATAAAATTATAATTTATATTACTTCATGGATTTGAGGTTGTCTCTTTGTGGATTTAGACAACACTCCTTGTTGGATTCTGAGGTTTCTTTCTTCCACGCTATGTTACCAATTTTTCTAAATTGTATCTATTTTAATATATCACTACGTAGTAAAATAAATAGCTACATCATATTTGTTCTAAATAATTTTATATAATCATAAATAATTCATTGTAGTAACTAAATTTCTTAATATATTATAGTAACTAAATTGATAGAGGGTCTAGTAAAAAATTAAGAAGCTTATTTATTGAAGATAATGTTACAATAAACGCTAGGCGCTTCTAGGCGTCGGACCCGGCGCCTAGCACTTAGACGCCTAGGCAGGCGCCTAGCACTTAGACGCCTAGGCGTCTAAGCGGTTTCTTGGTGCTTTTTTCTTTTTAATTTTTTTAATTGTGATACCTAAAGATAAATATATATATTCTCAATCAAAGATGCATAAATACTAAAATACCAACACATATGCTATCTAAAACTATAATAGTCAATCAACGATGCACACATACTAGATAGCAAGACATATAATATCCCAGATCTAGAAGTTTAAGTCCCAATATCAGTAAAAAGATAGTCGAACAGGAATAGTCTAGACTCTAATATAATAAATTAACAATATGCATCTAATCTAATCTCATCATCAATCATCATCATCATGAAGTTCCTCCTCTGCTCCATCATCTTTATCCTCCCTAGAATCCATCTCTATACAATCCTCCTTCTCGTCTGAAACATCATCATCAGAGACAAGATGCTCTTCTTCATCAACAATCCCCAGAGCAGAAGCACTTTAAGGCCCTGCTAACCTAGAACTCCTCCTATTCTCCACAACCTCAGCCAAGTAAGACCTGAACCGGAAGAACCTCTTACTTATCATCGGAGGCTGCTCCTTCTAGGATCCATGCTCATGCCTTACTATGATCATTAGATAGTAGTAGGTTCTTATTTTCTCCTCCCCTCTTCTTCTGGTTAAGCTTTGAGTTGAACATCATATAGACGAGTTCTTCTAATCTCTTCCATTCTAACATATTCCTCTTCTTTGTATGGATCTTCAAAAGAAATTAGAAAGCAAAACTAAGAAGAATTTCATCTTATTCATAAGTTTAGAAATTACTTTACCTCCTCAAATGTGCTCCAATTCCTTTCACAACCAGAAGAGGTACTTGCCAAGTTGAGAATCTTCATAGTCATGTTTTGTATGAGAGGACAGTCACCACCATGCAAATACCACCAATTACCTACAAAAAATAATATATTATTAGTTGACTCACCACAATAATAAATAACTTGTAAGTCATAAATGATTCAATTTCTAATATTATTTAACATGGGTTCAAGTCCAATTTCTCTCTAGTCTTCACCGCTCTAATCTTATCAAATGAATCCTTTCCTTCTCTGTATCTCTCCAAGTCTAGAGTATGAATTTCAACTTGTTATTCTACATCAGGATAGAACAACTCCACCACATCAAGAATTCCATCTTTCGCCCTTTTGTAGTTCTTCACTACATCATCCTTATAGAAATAGTGAGGGTTGAGATAGTAAGAAGCCATATGCAAGGGAGAAAAGCGCCGATCCTTGGACTTCACATCTATAGTATCAATCACGGGCTTGAAATACTTCTCCTTCTTCTTAAAAACTTGAATGAACTCCTTCTTCATATCTTCAAGTATCCCTACTACAAATATCATTGAGGGTTTGTAGTCACTATCGACTACCCTCGATAATCGAAAAATAGAAGCATACACCTTCAAGACCTTGCCCACCGCTGTCCACCAACTACCACACATAGTAATCGCCTCCACCTTTTGGCATTTAGCAGTTTTTGCAAGCTTGCATCTCACACATGCTTCATCGGAGAATATATATCTCCACTTTCCTTTCTTCTCAAGAAGACTCCATAGAGTCAAAAATATAGTGGTGAAAAGAGTAACTTCAGGCCTCACAATGTCCCTCTTGTCACAGATGCGACGCACCATGGACAAAGTCTTGTGATGGTTGTAGATAAAGACAATAAGGGTCCTTGCCTTCTCAATTTCTCCTCTGAATAAGTTCAACTTCCCGATGCTCTCAAGCATTAGGTCAACAGTGTGTGCTACATAACTAGTCCAAAAAATCCTCGACCTCGCTCTATATAAAAGCTCTTTCATGGCCATATTTACAACTACATTATCCATGACAGCCTGAATGACTTTATCAGCTCCAATCTACTCAATAGCCTCATTAACCCACTCAAATATATATTTTCCTACATGTGCCTCCTCGAAGGTCTTAATCGACTTATGTAAAGTTGTCCCCAATATTTAGTGGATGTAAAAATTTATTACCAAGTGCATCTTTCTGTCCGACCAAACATCGGTCATAATGGAGCATCCGGTCTTACCCCACTCCTCCTCATGCATCTTTATAGAGACCTTTGTTCTATCAACATCTCTTCACAATAGGAACTTCCTCAACACGTACATGTTGGGAGGTCTATAGCTCGGTCCATAGTCTCTAATAGCCATGCATGTCTTCAAAAAGGAATCCATGGAGATGGCATGAAAGGGGATAGAATTTTCATATGCCCAAGTAGCTAACTGATCATGCACCCAATCTCTCTTCTCCTCTAAGAAAGAATCTTTAACCCATGTTTGCTTCAATTCCCCCTTGAACCTCTTCGCTAGTTCTAGATCACTAGCGGTGTAAGCATCCATTGGTCAAACAGTAGGCTCTGTAGACCTCTTTGAAGACCCATCGCATGTGGAAGGAGATATGATTTCATTTTCATCTTTTTCTTCATCACCCAGCTTCGTCATATGGAGTTCTTCTTCTTAGTCTAAAGTGTGTCTCTCCTTATCTTGCTTCTTCTTAAAATTAGGATCAATCACTTCTTTAAACCTCTACTTATCTTTTTCATTAATCTTCAAACACGGTCTAGTGTCCCCCCTTTGCCCTGCAAGATGGTTCTTAAGTCAATGGATCCCTGCATTCATCTTATGTCCACATAGTCAACATTGCACGATATTCATATTTTTTGTGTCCGGACAAAATCCGAACTCCCAACTGATGTCCCCTGAGCTCCTTCTATCTTTCACCAGGGACACGAGGATAGTGGTGGAACCCGCAGACTCCTTCGCAAGAGCACCAGACATTCTAAATCACAGCAAGTGAACAAATAAACAATTCATAGATTAAAATCAAATCATGATAAATTAAAGTATTAATTATTAAGTATACAATTAAACCAAATATTTTTTACTATAATTTTCCATTAAAATGTCATTTAATTAACTTAACGCACTACATGAGTTTAAATTAATAGTAACTACACTTACTATTAACTTAAACAGTAACTTTGATTTAACATACGGTTAACTTAAACTTAAGTTAACAGCAACTTAAATTTAAGTTACTGTTAACTTAAACATAAGTTAACAGTAAGTGCAACTTAAGCATATTTTTTGTCTTAACTTTAACTTAAACATGCTTTACTAATTAAGTATTACTTAAATTATAAAAATTAAATTGCAAATAAAGAAAGTTAGTATTTAATAAACCTTAATGCCTAATGCTTTGTAACTCAGTAAGTGTAACTTAAGCTTTTTTTAAAAAAAAAACTTTGACTTAAGTATATTGTTTTTAATTTAACTTTAGCTTAAACAGGAACGTGAAGGTTGTAGACTGCTTCTTCCTTTCATATATACAGGCCAAGAATTAGTGAAGGGGTTACCTTGAAGAGAGGGATTACCTTGAAGAGGGATTCAACAAGGTGAAGGGGAGCTCAAAGAGCTTCGACGAGGTGAAGGGGGATTCAACGAGGCTTCAACATCTTCAATGACGAGAAGGGGATTCGACAATGTGAAGGGGCCTCGATGACATGAAGGGTCCCCGAAGAGGCTTCGACAATTTTGAGAGGCTTCGACGAGGCAATGAGTGTCTTCGACAAGGTGAGGGGAGCTCGGAGAAGGCTACGATAGATCCTATGGGAGAGCTTGGAGGGGGCTCCGACTGTTGTGAAAGGGGATTAGGATTTTGGTATTAGGTTCCTGAGAGGAAATAACAATAGTCAATAGAGAAATGTGGCGATATCAAGTCGGGAACTGAGAACTACGGTTTGGATTGGATGTATTGTTTAGTTAATTAATGGGTTTGGATTTAGATTTGGATTTCTGTTTTTTTTTTTTTTTTGGTCAATGAAATTTTTTTATTCATTTACGAAATGAGAAGTTTAGTTACATCATTTCAAGCCAGAACAAGCCTAGAAATCAACTCGTAAGAGAACACATTTACAACACCTCATTCTCTCTCTTATATGAAGTGGAAATTTTCCATTTAAAACTTTTGAGAATATGGAGATCTTTATTGCTCGAAATAACACCTCAGATTGCCGAGCTTTTCTCTGAAAAAACCTTAGATTCCTCTCTTGCCTTATCAAGTATACCGAGACTGTAAGAGCCATCCGCTTCAATTTTTTCGTAAATCTCTTCCTTTTCAGCCTGAAGCTATACCAATTTATAATGCAATTCCAATTACATGATCTTCAATTAAACTTTAATCAATGCATCATCATATTCCACACATCAGCTGAGAACTGACATTCAAAGAATAAATAGCGACAGGTTTCCTAGTGATTTGAACACAGTATACATTGATTTGTGTCAAGAATTCTCATACGACATAATCTATCTTGTGTTAACAACCTTGATTGAGCAGCTAACCATAAGATAAAAGAGTGTCTGGGGTAGTGTATACCATCCCAAATTGTGTCAGCCCAATCATCTTGAGGTGCAAAGTGTATCAGAAACCTATAAACAAAGGTTATTTGTATTTTGTCTTCGATACAACATTTTCCAATGATACCTTGTAGGCTGCTGACATAGACAAATTTGTTAATCAACATATCTCTAGCTTTTAGAATCTTTTTCCACATCCAAGAATCATTCGACCTTACTTGAACCTGCTAGATATCAGTTTGTTGCAAATAATTACCGTGCACCCACTTTATCCAAAGGAGATCTTTCTTGAGATAAATCATCCACAAGAGCTTTAGTGTTGCTGCATAGTTCCATATTCTTGCTGAGAAAACACCCAAGCCTCCATGATTTTTGCATTGACAAATAGTCGACCAAGAGACTAAGGGGATTTTATGATTCCATAGAAATTCGGAGCACAACCTATCAATTTTCATAAGAACTTTACTCGAAAAGATATAATTGTTAGTCCAGTAGATATGAACACCCAAGATGACTGATTTTATCAGTTGCAATCTCCCGGCATATGAAAGAGTCTTCTTCTTTTGCCAACTTTGAATTTGCTCAAATATCTTACTGATCAAAGGGGAGCAATCCATCTAAGATAATCTCTTTGTAATTAGAGGCATACCGAAGTATCATATTGGTAAAATCCCTTCAGAAAAATTCAGATACGAGCATATCTGAAGTTTAAGGTTTTCATCAATACCACTCATATAAACTGAGCATTTATTAGGATTAGTTTCCAATCCTGATATATGACTGAACTCTTGTAAGCAGCTGTTTAGTTTTTAATTATAGAATTCATATCAGCTCCACCAAATAATAGCAAATCATCAGCAAAGAACAAGTAAGTAATTTTAAATCTGTAACACTTTGGATGGTATTTGAATAAACCATCATTTTAAGGGAGTTAAGCTTTCTTAACAGGTATTCCATGCCTAGAAAAAATAGGTAGGGAGAGAGGGGATCCACTTGCCTTAAACCCCTAGCACCTTGGAAGTATCCATGGAGAGGGCCATTGAGTGACAATGAGAATTTGGGGGTAGTGTTGAATACATTCAATAATCCACATAACCATAATATTTAGAAACCCTAGCCCCATCAACATAGCTTTAATGAAATCCTAGTTAATGGCATCAAAAGCTTTCCTTAGATCAATATTGAGGATAGCTCTTGGTGAAGAATGTCTCCTCCCATAGTGTTTGATAAGTTCATGGGCAAGTAGGATATTGTTTGAAATGATTCTCCTCTTAACAAATGCACTTTGAGCATCAATAATAAGGAAACCCGTCACTTTTTGAACTCTACTAGCAATAATCTTAGTAATGATTTTATAAACATAATTGCAGCAAGAAATTGGGTAGAAACTAGAAGGAGTTTTAGGATTAAGAACCTTAGGCACCACTGTGATCGAAGTAGTGTTAAAAGTGCCCAAAAGAACTCCTCCACTGCAAGACAAAGATCTTCATTGATTACATTCTAAGCTGCTTTGAAGAAGGAAGCATTAAAACCATCAGGACTAGGGGCTGGATGATCAGACATTGAGAATATTGTTTGTTTTATCTCTTCTCTAGAAACAGGAAGACTTAGGGCATTGCTTTAAATAGAAGAGAGGACCGGTCCATTTGTAATCACTTCTGGATCAGCTTTATAACAGGAATTGAAGTGCTCAAAAGCTTTTGGTAATATTCAATAAATTCTGTAATGATGTTGGGTATATCAGTGATTCTTTCACCATTCTCAGAATAAAGAGATAAAACTCTATTAAGTGAACTTCAGGAATAGAAATTTTGCCCCACATCTTGTTAACATAAGTTTTCATAGATTTAAATCTAACATTTAGCCCAAAACATGACCAATCAAGGCATATTTCCAGTAAACTTTACCTTCTCTCCATTCATCCGTAGAGAATGTAACAGTATTAGCTTGAGAGGATGGAACAAAGTTTAGATTTAAACCATTTCCTTGCTTCCTATTGTCAGCAAATAAGCTAGCAAAGGATTTCAAATTGACAGAATCAAGATTATCTAATCTCTCATCATTCCCCTTAGTATTATGACCTGAAACATCATTTCGATGCACCAGCAGATTTGTATTTTTAGTTTCAGCATTAATTTGAACATCCTGTTCAACTTGAGAATCTAGATCTTCGAAATTTCCTTCATCCAAAGTGGTGTTCTCAATAAAAAAATCAGATTCAATATCCTCTTCAACATCATCTGCCCAAATGATAGAGTTAGTTGGATTACCTGGTTGCCGAGGGATCAAAAGTCCAAATCTCATCTGAGGAAGCTGAGAATCTAATAATGGATTAGATTTAGCCAAAATCTCCTCTATTAACATATTCTTCCTAGCACCCTTAGGTCCAGTACTCTCCATCACCACCGCTAAGCTCGAAGAAGCCTCAACATCATTCGGAGCTACTGTTCCATTGGATATTGAAGGAAAAGCAAAGATTGAATCACGAAGCTCACTGTTAAATACTCTCTTACCCCCACTCTTCTTCTTCTTCCTCATTTGAGTCTAGGCGGAGGAGCACGATAACAACAGAATCTCCTGCTAACAGGCACCTTCAGACCGCCCCTTTTCTAATCAGAATCGCATGTTTTTTGGTTTTAACATTTTGGGCTAGAATTAAATAGGCCCATTTGATTTTTTTTTTTCAT